AAAGATCCCCTTTTACATTTTTAACGTTAATAGAAAAATACCTTATTTTTCATTACTTTGTTACGCATATATTACTATTTGGAGGTAATTATTATGGTTTATATTCATTAAAAACACTGATAATATCGGGTAGGTCGGGGCACAAAGATTCAACATATATCTAATCTCTAAACAATAGTGCTATCAAGTGCTATATATACATATATGTTATTATCATTAAAATTATATAAATATTAACGTAATTTGTTTAATTAATTTTTAATCATTCTGGATTTAATACACAAAAATTAGATATAATCTAAAAGCGTATAAAATACATTGATTTTAAATTTATTTAGAAAATCAATACATTTTGCGGGTTGATCTTAATAAAATATTGTGTAATATTAAACTGACCTTACTAGCCTTTTAAACGTGACACTAGTATTTCATGTTGGATTTTAAATGTTTTAATTTAATATAATTTTTCATTATTTACAATATCCAAAACTGCATTGTAAAGTTTTCCTTTTTGATATCGTACAAGAGCCCAATTGTATTCATCTTTAGTTTTCCACCAGATTTAGAGTAATAGATTGTTATTTTGGAATTAAATTTGTAACGTATTTTAAAGGTATTGTCCAAGGATCAGTGAGCAATGAAATTACATATTTCTTTAACTATATTGAAAAAAAACTATTCATATTTGTATCTGTACTATTTCTGCATAGTTACTAATTAGAGCAAGGGTACCACTAGGTGTGCTAAAATATCAACGATTTTTGTTCCAAAGTAAATTTTACTTCTTAGCTTCATTTCCATAACTCTAGCCACGCATGTCTAACATTCACAGTTTATCCGATGCGAAACATTTGCAACAAAAACAAAAGTTACAATTCAATTTCTCGGAATAAATAAGCCATTTTCTAGACACTAAATCCCTATCTTTAATTTTTCTCCATTATAATTTGTATCTATTTTTTTTAACAATTTTGGCTTCAACTAAATCAGCTCGCAATTTTTCGACAATAATGCTTGTCAATCCCGTAACGCGTCAATAATGCGCTTACGGGATTGAATACTAGATAATTTCTGTTTCGATTCCACGTTAACTTCAAACAAAGAAAAAATTAAATAAGTAGATTTTAAGCAAGGAGCAAAACAATAATTTACTAATTTGCAGTTAACTAATTAATCGGTTAATTGTTTCTACTGATATCACATTTCAAATTAAATATGCTTTTTGTATCTCCGTATCCATAGTTAAGTTAGATTGTTTATTATAGTCTCATAAGTATTCTTGTTTTTATATTTGAAATAAAAAAAATAATAGATAATAAATTTTATTTCCGAATCTCGTGTTGGCGCTCCCTAAGGCGTGCGCCCGCATTTTTCGCATGCATTGCATTCAAGGTAGGACCGGCCCTGTACATTGATTATTCAATAAACAACTTAATCAAAATATTCTTAGTATATTTGTTGCAAAACGATAAATCTATAAACATTTTCCCGCTCCAGTTTTCTTCCTTCGTACTGTAATTGCAGCAATATTTTACAATTCATATATGATTTATACAAACTTTCAATATACTGCACTACTTGCATATATAAAGTCTATTCCTCATTCTTAAGTCTCGAACACTTTGACCTACTTTACTCGTTTGATAAAATTCAAACTTAATTACATTAATAAATTCACCAATGGAATAAGTTCAAGTGATCAATGCCAAGGAATTGGCAATGAATAAAAGTACACAGAATAGAAAAAAGTTTATTCTTATTGTTAGACAAAAACTTTGTGACCTTAACAGCATTTTTCTTCTAATTTACTCAATTAGAAAAAACTTTCTCTTGTACTAAATCATTTAGCACAGTAAAAAAAACTCAACAATAAATTAAACAAACTAAAAGTTTATTAGTGGCAATGTTTTAGATTTATTATATATTAATTGAAAGATGCGTAGAGCAAGGCTCAAAGGTCCCCGGGTTAAAAGGTCTATCACCATTATCACAAAAACAAGTATTTTTCAACGATACTATTTTAAAAGAGGGAGCAAAAGATATGTAACCAGTTATCACCTTTATTCGTGCATATATGTTATATTAATATTTATAATTAAAGTTTTTTTTCGTTGGTAGTTTTTGTGGTTTTGAGCCTTATTATTTAGTTTACGATACGCGGATTAAGTGTACGCTATCATTGTTTTATAAAGTGGATTGATATTTTTAACTTCCCGTAGGGTAAGTTATAGTAATCGCAAAAAAATCGAAAATGAAAATTTTTATATATCTTTACGTTTCAGAGGTTTCTTAACATTTTGGCATACCTTAGAAAAAAATGGATGTATGTGTGTGTGAGTGTGTGTGTGTATGTGTGTGTGTGTGTGTGTATGTATGTATGTATGTACGTGTGTGTATGTATGTGCGGATACAAATTTTCGTCGACGATTTCGGGAACACGGATCAACCGATTTGAATAATTCAAAAAACATTCGATTCGTATTGATAAGGAGACGTGCTGATTAGTTTTTGGCGAAGGCAGGTCCAGCCGTTCCAAAGATACGGGGCAAAAAGTGCCGAAAACGGTAACTCAGTTTTTAAGAGAACGGAGCGTCCGATTTTAATAATTCAAAAAACATTTGACTTGTATTGACAAGATGAAGAATTGATCAAATTTTCATGAGGGCAGGTCTAGCGGTTTCGGAGATCTAACGATAAAAGTAAAAAAAAATGCCATTTGGCGGTCAAAAATGATCATTAGACATATGCACATCAAATCATCAGATATTTTATAGAGATTTTAACAATAAGTATAAATTTTGTTTGCATTCCTATGGGTTCCGTACCAATATTTATTCGTTAGACGGCGACGCGCCGCTTACGCGCTTTGACATTTTGTCTCTATGCAGCTAAAGCAGTACGATTGCTTTGAAAAAAGATCTTCCAAAATATGCCAAAATAAAGAAGAAAACATTATTTTTTCCAAAAAAAATTAAAAAAAAAAAAAAAAAATTTGATTTTTTTTTGAAAAAATTTTTTTTTCAAAAAAAAGTATTTTTTTGTTTAATTTATAGTTTCTCAAAAATCTTATTTTTTCGAAGTAAATTTGTTTTAAAAATGTCAATCGATTTTAAAAAAATAATAATTTTTGGAACGGGAAGTTCCAGCAATTTGCCTTAAGGCACGATGCCTTAATTGCCTTAAGACAGAATTCCACTTACAGCTAGTTTTAATTTGATTCAACAGTTTTTTATTTAGCCTCAATAAAATCTTGCCACTGAGCACAGGCAAAGGTGTAAGCAATAAGCAAATGGCAAATAAAAAGTGAATGAACACTGTTTTTAAATTTTTTTAAAACTATGCCGGCAGCGGGCGGTAGAAGAATATTTCGCAATCTATCATACGATAATATTTTTTATTATTATAATATAAATAATTAAATAAGTAATACTTTTTGTTCTTGAGATATATTAGTAAATGTACATGAATTTTTCACCAGAATGGCTGATTTACTTGAATTTTATTAATTGTTTAAACATTTGTTATATTATTTTCAGATAAATAAATAGTATTGAAATTTAGAAATTATTAAATAAAAATTTTGTATTACTTATTCTTATTATATAACAATAATATATACATAAAGCATAAAGGTAGTCCAAAAAACATCAAACAGGTCATCAGTATTATAATATATATTGTTAATTTTAAACAAAAATAAAAAAAATAAAAAAAAAAGTTATCAAAAACACATATTACATCAATTAAACTTTTGAAATCCGAAATAAAAAAAATTGCTCTTTTAGATCACTTTTCACGAAGAAAAACCCGATCGTTAAGTGGTTAAGTTAAAAAAAACAACATTACATGAGTTAAAATAAATTAATAGTTATTCTAACCCTGCCGATAAATATTTTTTTCGAACTACCAGACTCGGTTTATATAGTGTAATTCTTGTATAAAATGTGCTCATGGAATTTGTATTCTGCATTGGTTAAATTCAATATTATTTGCTGACAATATTTTGAAAGAACAAAAATGTATGCGTTTGTGGTATAATTCTTACACGAGCAATTTTTCGATATCAATTATATATGTATCTAGAAAAACTGAGCTTTCAATGGGAATCTTTTTTAACTTCCCATAGGGTAAGTTATTATAGAAATCGCAAAAAAATCTAGAATGTAAATTTTTGAATATCTTCACCTTTCAAAGGTTTCTGAACATTTAGGCATACCGTAGAAAAATTGATGTATTTATGTGTATGCGTGGTATGTATGTGCGAATTTTTTCACAAATTAACCGATTTGAATGATTCAATATCGATTCTTATTGAAAAGAAGACGTGCTGATTAGTTTTTGCAAAGGGAGGTCTAGCCGTTTCGAAGATACAGGGATTTGAACGATAAAAAGTATTTTATTTGTATTGACTAAATATTTTGGGAAGGCAGGTCCAGCGTTTTTGGAGATCCAATAAAAAAATGTAAAAAAGAATGCCATTTGGCGGTCAAATATAATCATGCATATGCAAATCAAATTATCAGATATTTTATAGAGATTATAAGTACAAATTTTGTGTACAATTGTATGGGTTCCGTACTAATGTTTACACGTTAGACTACGACGCGGCCCTTATGCGCTTTGATATTTCCACTATGAAACAGCTATGCAGCGCGATTGCATTAAAAAAGTTAAAAAATTTCAAAATATGAAAAAAAATCAAATTTTTCAAAGTCATTTTTTTCAAAAATTCTCAAAAATCTATTATTTCTAAGTTTTGAAAGAATTTCAAATGATGGAATTTGGATCCGTAAATCGGGCCGGTAAACTCGGTCCAGTACCTTGTCACACAAGACAAGAGCCATATTCCCCACACTACCGACCATTCGACAAAAATTTGATATACGTATACGTTGGTTCGTCGTACAAAAACTTTATTACCTCCTCAGCATGTTTCTTTGATACAAGTTTATTCAATTAGTGTAATTCGCGCTTTGTATGAATTCGCAAATGAAACTCACCTCAATGGCGATCCTAATGGAGTGGCCACGCCGAAACCTTTCGAGTCTAAATTGTTTCCAACTTTCATGGTATCGCAGGGCTGTCTTTCATTCGTGTAGTCGTTTTTCGGTGATTCTATCAAAAGGGCGTATTTTCCTTTTGATTTTCGGACTCGTGCAATGCCTTCGTCGTACGAGTTGACGAACACGTGTTTGCGACTGTTCATGAACTCCCACATTTTGCTGTACAGAGATATCTGCGAACGCTGTTGGGAAAAGAAAAACAGTTAAACCGATATGAAAAATTTTACTTAAACTTAAAATTTCTATCCGAAAAAAATAAACGCTACATGCATGGCTTTTCATATTCAGAAAAGAAAATTTTTCATAAAGTCATGAAAAATTAACATCTTAAAACTCAAACTTACTAATGTATTAAAACTGAAACACTTAAGTGTTTAGGAGATAAATTTGAAGAATTGTTTAGCTTTCTTTATTTACTCTATTAATACTGTTTAATTAACGGTCATCACAATAGAGAAGACTAAAAAAAATTTTTTTTTTATTATTATTAACTCTTTTATTTGCAACTGTTTAATAAAGCATATTCAGTAAATTTGATGAATTTACAATAGTCGGCCGAAAAAGGACATTGTATACTAAATTGGCATGTTGGAAAAAATTGACTAAAAAAATATGGCGAGATAATTTAATACAGTAAAACTGCATCAAATAGTATCCTGGGGTAACTAGTAGTTATAGTAGTTACAGAACTATGTCCTAAATCGCTCTGATCTACTCGGTCGCTTAAACATTTATTATCTGACCGTTAATTTTTTTTAAATTTATTTTTAATACTAATCAGAACATTAGTTATATTCTATAAACTATTTGGTTGAAAAAAAAATAAGTCAGGTAATAAATGGTCAAGCGGCGGAGTAGGTCAGAGCGATTTAGGCCATAGTTCTGTGCATTGATCATGTATAACAATTTATTTTAAAACTAATATTATTATTAGATTACTCTATCATTTTATACAATACTCAGAATGAATACAATACTCAGAATTTCATAAAACTCAGAATGCTTAAAAAATTAAATATTTTTTTAAAATTTAATCAGTGTTTTACAGTTCTCTATATTACAAAGTTCATAATTCCTAAGAAATATGTGCTGTTGTTAATAAGCAACTTCAATTTTCGTAACCCGTAAAAATTATATGTACTTCGGATTAAATTTAATTTTATTAAATTTTCTCAAAATAAACGAAATCTTATATAATATCTCAGAACTTAATCGTTTTTGTAATCAAACAGATCAAACGATTTTTATAATCGATTAATAATAGAAAAAAAACTATCTTTAATCTCATAATCAGTGCATTTATAACATTTATAGATTTTAAATATAGATTTTATAATTAAGGTATGACGCAGCATAAATATTTTTTTGAATATCAATATTTTTTTCTAATAACAAACGATAGTAGAGCCTATTAATATTTTCTATGCAATATTAATATATAATTCCGATTATTTATTATTATCGCAAACATCTAGAATAGGAAATATATATGAATATAAATAAAAATAATTTATGTGCAAATAGTCAACATGTTCGTTTTATCACATTTATCTTTATGCTTGCAAAATCATTTTTTCTAATTAAAGCTTTATAACACTCTATCCTATAATAACATTAGGCTCGACTATAAATATAATTGTAATTCATGACCAATAAAAATTTTTTGTGATCAAACGATATACATGCATTTGGAACTACAATCTTTCAATGAAAATTCAGAGGCGATAAAATAAAAACAATGTATTACAGAGGACGAGTTGATGTAATATCAATAATTTATTGACATTCATGTGAATATTAATAATTAAAATGAATATATGCGAATACGATTATTTATGTGGATATTTTATTGAATACTTACTTTTTTTTTATGCAACATTAAAAAAATACCCTAGTCACTAGTCGCTGACTGTCATTTTAAATTGACATATATGTTCTCATATTTAATTAAAAACTATATCTGAGAAATAGCAATACTATTCATACTCCGAGTATTTGAGTATCGGTACAAGCTAGTAACATTTTTTATTTGATATCGTTCCGTATTGCATTTTATAATTGGGATTTTGTGTACCGGTCAGAGCATTAATATTAATTTTGAGATAAAACACGTGTTGTCGTTTGGTGGCGGCAATCGGTGCTAAATGTAAATAATTAAATATAATAATAAACATGGAGCCGAGAGATTTGTGTATGTAATTGAAAAATTAGAGAAACGTCAGTAAATAGTAGATAATAATTATAATAAAACAAATAAAACAATCATTTTAACAAATTTTAAAATAATACTTTTTTTATTATCTGCATTCCTAATCCATATAAAATGTATTGTAATTACTTATATTTACATGTTATTAATAGTTATTTTATTTAAGATATGTAGAGTAGAGCGATACTTAAAGGTCGGCAGATGAGAAGGTCTACCACCAGTATCTTAAAAAACAAGTGAAACTAGGAATTTTTAACAGCAATATTTGAAAGTAGAGGGAAAATATGTGAAATCAGCAATCGCCTCAAATCAAGCAGCAAGATCGAAAGATCAACAGCAATGTTTGAAAATTTATAACAAAAGTATTTTGTTGTTGTTTAGCTTGCGAGACGTTAATATAATTTTTATATATTCGCGATTTAATTGTTTTGAAAGATGTGTTTGTTATTTTAAAGTTAGATTCAACTGTTTTTTATATAACGTCTCTAAGAGCTGACATGCAGGTGTGGTAAATAGGACTATCTGAATCTTTACCCTGGCAAAGATAAAAGCAATAAAAATTAGTAAATAAAAATGTACATTCAATTTAAAAAAACAAATTTACAAGAAATAAATTGAATTAATAGTTAGTTCCAACTCTGCTGATAAATATTTCTGAGAAAATAACGTATACAGTATTATTTTCGTAAAAAATATGCTCATCAAATTTATATTTTGCATTTGTTAGCAACATTATAAGAATTAAGGCGATGGCTGGTTATACATTTATTTCTCTCTACTTTCAAATATTTTTGTTAAAAAATCGTGACTTCACTCGTCTTTGTGATAACGGTGGTAAACTTTTTTACTCGCCCACCTTTAAGCCCCGTTTCACCCTATCTCAATACTATTTCTATATCCTTTCTCATTTTGTTATTTTGTTTGTTTTTTGTTTCTAATAAATTTCAGATGATGATACACATTTGTTGTTGAATTGTTTCCTTTATTCCTTTTAATTACTCTATAAAATTGTATTCTTTTCGACGAATTTGCCAGTATTTTCTTTTAATATATATTTATATTTTCATTTTTATTTCAACGGACGCCCTTTCTATTACGTTTTGTAGCAAAGCTTGTGGCGTCAAAATCACTCGCAATAGCAGACTAAAAAATTCGCCGGGTGTCCTAAATATATCGAATATTTACAAAGGGTCATGTTGTAATTATATAAAGTATTTGTAATATGTTTGATACTTTATTAATTTTTTATTTTATATTTTTATTTGCGTTGCTATGTGCATTACATACAATGACTTTTAGAATTGGATATCGTTTTCACTTTCTTCATTATTTATTTTTATTAAATTATATATACATTATATATTTCTTTATGTTTAAAAACTTTTTATATGTATTCGAATTTACTTAGTTCCAGGGGTTCAAATGCTTCTAAATTGATAAAAAAAATCTGAAAGTTTTAGCTCTTAATATTAACTTTAAGATAGTCTGCACTCATTTTTCATATTAATAATTTAATACACATTATTAATTATGTTTATACTTTAAGTGAATTAATTTGTCAAATCCTGTTCATACGTATGTGTCAAAAGAATGAATTTTTGACACAATGGAACTCCTAAATAATTTTAAATAATAGGTAAAATGTATTCTGTTTGCGAAATAATTTAGTAAAGTATGGCACATTCCAACACGATAGGTTAAAAAAAATCTGTCAAACTGATTTATATAATTTCATCTGCGAAACACATACTGTATCATATATTATTTTAATTTCTGGCACATCTGAGCTGCTTTTCGATGATAATATTATAAATATTTTTCTTTTTCTTACTCATAGTTATGTATATTATATTCTAATATTGTCTAAGCTCATAATTTAACCTAAATTCAAATTTCAAGTGAATTGACATTTTGCAGATGACAGTTTATGTTTCAAAATGTTTTCAATGTCAAACAATGATATGTAGTTTTTTGCAATTTTTTTTTCATTTATTTCTACAATATTACTATATTTATATAATTAATTAAATATTAAATTTTCCTTGACAAACGGTTTCCTTGACAAACTCTAAAAAGATTTATCAAAATCCGTATAATCGTTTAGGAGGTGTATTGTTTTATATATATATATATATATATATATATATATATATATAATTGTTCTAATAATTAATTAATAAAAATATTGTTCCACACAATTGCTGAACAAATTATAAACATATAGTTTGCATCATATTAATTAGTGACGTATTGCTGATTAACTAAATTATCGATGTTCGTAATTTAATTAATGCGAAATGATATACAAGTACTCAATCTGTTATTGCTACTGATGTGCAATTTAGTATTTTTATAATTTACAAATAAAATATAAAATCATTGAATTATTTGTTTTACGTTATTATACAGCGTCTATTACAAAACTGATAATTAACTTCCTCATTTTAATTGTGTTCGGTTGAAAAAGACTGCTAATTCGTTTACCATTATATTTAATTTTTTGAAATTACGTATCAAGTATTGAATCAATAATTTAATTAATAGACATAATTATTATTACAATCATTTTAAATGTTTAATATATAACTTTAGTGGTACAGCTGTAGCATATAGTTAATTTATTCATTATAAAATTATTGAATTGAAACTTTTGATTTTTCATGCGTTATTTTAATAATTTAAATGTTGCTGTGGTACATCTATCCATCTATACGTATATAAAATTCTTGTGCCATGATGTTTGTCGTAATTCTTTTCCGAAACCGTTTGACTAATTTTTATAAAATTTTATAATCACGTTCAGTATAATTAAGAATCGATCACTCTAAATTTTTGCCATCCAACCACAAACCCCTATTTCACAATAATCGTGTTATATAGTTTGATAGTAACTGAACATTTATTGTCTTCAGTATGATTCGTTCAGTATGATTGAGAATCGGCCACTCTAAATATTCACCATTCAACCACAAA